CTCAGGTGACCACCATGTGCAGGACCCCAGCATTATTCACCTGGGAGTGCCCCTGCACCAAAGAGAAATGCAGTAGCCTGTTTTACCGTGGCAAGGAGCATTCCTATGGCACTGCAGTGCTGAGCCAGCCCTCTCTGGGCAGGGCCCAGAGAAAGCAAGAGTCACTTCTTGCTGGAGTAGTAGAGGTAGGACATGAGCTTCAGCCCTTGTGTTGTAGACATTGTTGTTCCCATGCTCTTGGGGAGTAACTTCTGTAGAAGCCCTTATCCCATCACATCATCTCTCTCTTCTCTTGCCCTTCAAAAGCCAGAAGGAAATGTCAAAAGATGGTGAGGCCACTCCTGAGTTTCTGTGGCCAGACTGTGGGGAGGGTGTTTGAGTTGTGCTTGGGGTCTCAGCCCTGTAGACCCCGTGTTTGGGGACCCAAAAGGATGGTCTCCTGTGTGGGCAGACTTACTGCTTTCAAAGAACCTAGCTTCTTTTGTCTCCAAGATTTTTTATTAAATGATGGGAGCAGCTCATGAGCTGATCGTTGAGCTGGAGAGTATCAGTAGGTCTCACAGAGGTGTCAGTGGCAGTGTGGGATTCATCTGGTTAGATAAAACCTCTTAAAAAGCTGAAGCTTTTGAGAGCATTTTATTCAAGTGCAGGTGCCTCACAGACCTCCCCACTGTCCCCACAATGTGTGTTGAACCCATGGCACGTACAGGCTAGAGAGACCCTTTGTCACCAGCCCCAGGGAAGAAATAGCCACAACTGTGGCACTAAAGGCAGGAATAGGAAAAAGCTTCCAGTGTGGGACACGGGTCTGGAGGAGACCCGGCTTCCTTCCCCACTGCCGAGTTCCCTGCTACCGTGGTTTTCTTGGGATCCTGCCGTGCTGTGGGGGCTTGTGCTGTGCTGGCTGCCTGGAACCGCCTCGGGGAGTTGCCGAGGGAGGAATGCGGGCGGGTGAGCGGGGGGAGCGGGTCCCCGCACCCCAGCTACGGCTGTGGCAGCTGCGTTTGAAAGGGCAGAACCGTCGCTGCCGGAGCAGAGCGTGACCCGATGCTCGGTGTGACGCACCCGCCCAGCACCTCCTCATCCTCCTCACCCTGGCGTGCCTGAGGTCCCAGGGGGATCTCGGTGCAGGATGAAGGGTGAAAACAGGGCGAGCCTGAGAGAAGCAGCGTTTAAAGGATGGCAGCCACGGCAGGGGGGGTGGATATCGCTGCAGCAGAACGGAGCCGTGGTGGGGATGTCAGCTGTGCTGGTGGCCCGTGAGCCGTGTTGGCTGAAGGGTTTTGGGCAGGAGGTCCCTGCCCCCTGCAATGCAGCATCTACCACTGGGACCCCTAGGCTGGGCTGCTTCTCCCGGGATGCAGACTGGGATTTGGGAGGATTCTGTTGGAGAAGCCATTTAATGTTGATGGCACCGACTGGTCGTTGTCTGGCAGCCTGGGCTCCGTGCTGCTGGTGGGGGCAGGCACAGCCCCCGGGGTGCTGCCCCCACGGGGAATCTCAAACTGCTGAGCAGAGGAGGGAGCTTCTCCTCTGGGCAGGGAAGAAAACCACATGGGGGCTTGTTAGAGCTTCTGGTGGAGGTGGGGCAGAGGTGAAGGGACAGATAGGTGACAGGTCCCCTGCTCCACTGCCTCAGCTCCCAGCTGTGGAACTAAACAAGCTCCTGTCCTCAGCCCTGGTCCTTTGGCCTCAGCTCAAAACTCTTCAGTGCTGTGCCAAAAAACACAGGATCCTAGAATCATGATTGATTGGTTGGAAAAGATCTCTTAAGATCATGAAGTCCAAACATCAAATGGTGGTCACTGGGGGACTGTACTGCTCCAGCTGGGCTCTGGCCTGTACCCTGTTTCTGACAAACACGAAAAGCCATGGACCAGTGAAGCCCTATCTCACAGAGTATCTCCCAGTCTGAAATCCTAGAGGTTAACTTGCCTCTCGGGATCAGCCTTTTAAATCAGGTTGGCGGCAGACACCCGTGATGGCTTGAGAACAAAGACTTCTTCCTGGCAGAGTAAACAACACCCAAACCGAGCTCCTCAAAATATGTGTTCCTCTAAATTTTTAATGCCGTTTTCATCCAACTTGCTCGTCCTGTTCCAGGAGGGCTGGGCCTTGTAATTAAAAGCTCCAGCAATCTTCTGTCTGGCAAATGTCATCAATGGCTTTGCTATGCTGTGCCCTGCCTTCTCCCAACAGTGGGAATGGCTTGGAAAGGAGCTTCTGATCAGAGAAACTCTCAGAGGTCAGGTCTGGATTCACTTTGGGTCTTTGTGCCAGCTGAGCTTGGAGAGAAGCTGTCATGAAATCAGGGTCACCAGCTGAAGTAACAATTCCCATTCAAAACCTGGGAATACCCAAGGCAAAGGAGTTGTCTGAAGCTTATAGACAGCCTGTTTTCTGCACAGGGTGGGGGGCTGACAGCAAGAGAAGTAGCCCAGCATCTGCTCATCTAAAGAGAAAAAAGTTCATGGACAGATTTATCTTAGACTAGACAACTGGAACAGAGCTGTCCTACCCTTTTGAGGGTGCCAATCTGGGTTGGTGCCAGCTGACCCCCCGTGAGCTCTGACAGCCCTCCAGGGCTCTGTCAGCACTCTGCAAGCCAGCAGGCAGTGCTCTGAAATGAGCTCAAAAATTGATGTTTATTATGTGTGTATTTCCCCCATCACTGACTACCAGCAAGTACTGTCACTGTCTGCTGAGTCTTCTTTTTTATCTAGGTGATGGTTAATGGAGCAAAGGATTCACCACATTATAAAATATACATATATATACACATATATATACATATATAAAACATTGTTTTATAAAGCTTGAGGAGGAGGATGCTTTGTCCTGTGTGGCCCAGGAACATGGCATCCATCACATAACTAACCCCCTCAGCAGAACTCTTTTTGAGGGGCATCAGGCTGGGTCCAGTGTTATGGTGCAGCTTATGGTTGCAGGGTCATAGCTGAGGGGGTTGGACACCTTGGGGTAGGAACACCTTCCACCAGCTGTACTGGTGTCTCCTGAATGTACACTCTGGGCCTCTGCTACCTCCAGTTGTGCTGATACTTTGTGTTTGTTTTGTTTGTAGTGGGCATGAGAGGGAAGGGAAGTAAAGCAGAGAGGCTGCAGCATGAAAAGTTAACCTGTGGGACCGTGTCTGCTGTACCACCAACATCCAGGTAAGAACAGTCCACTTGGCAATATTCCCTTAAAGTCTGTTGGATGTTCTATTGTCAGACCTTTGTATAAGATAAGTGTAAATACCAGGAAAAATTGGTGCTTTCTTTGGATACATGCAGAAGGGATGGATACATGTTCAGTGTCACTAAGCAGTGTCACTGCTCCTAATGAGTATGTCAGGAGTAAATTCCATCACGCCAGACAGACCTGAAAGGACAGATGGGTGGGGGTTTTTGACTCATACAGAGCAAGCACAGAAACATGTTATTCATTCTGTTTCCTGGCTGCTCTTTAGCACCCAGTTCCACTGCCTTCCCCTTGTCTCCATGGGTGCAGCCTTGCTCCTGTTGACCAGCAAAGGGCTGGTTGTACCCCTGGCTGAGCAGGATCTGGCCCAAGGGGATTAATGCCAACAAATATTGGCTGAAGTTGTGTTTTGATGTGGATGCTGGGCAGTGTGAGGTGGACAGAAGCTGGTTCCCTGGCCTTGAGTATGACTTGGGGATGAAGTTGGGTCCTTCCACAGGACTTTCTGCATCTTTTGTTACCTTTACCCCCATGGGGATCAAACAGCAGCATGGCTGAGGTCAAGCAGAGCCTGCATCACTGCATTTTCAGCCCCTGATGAGTGCAAATCAGCACAGGGCTTGGGCACTCTTGCACAGGGCTTGGGCTCTCTTTCCCAGTGCAGGAGAACGGCCTGTGTAGGGCAGCAGGATCAGTCTTGCTGCACGCAGCCAGGCTTGCCCCACTCTGCCTTGGTGTAGCTGAGCTGCAGCCCTGGATTTCAACAAGATGCTCTGCACTTCAAACACTTCTTAGATCTAAAACGTTATTTATTTGAATAAATAAATAAAAAAAAATAGGAAATTCTGCTTATAAAGCCTGCCTGTACAAAAGCCCCACAAACTGCCTAAGGTTTATATTAGTAAGTATTTTTGATACAGTAAAAACCTCCTGACATTGCACACAGTTCTTCATTTGAATGACAAGGCCTAAATGTAATAGTTTTTGTGAAATCATAGAAATAAACACATTTAACACCAAATAGAAACACACCTGACAGCACTTTGCTGGAAATAGGACAGAAGGGTGAGTGAATGGTGTATGTTGATGCTTATCTTAAGGCCATCCTCTTTAAACAAACTACTCTCTCACTACTGCCTTTGGCCTCTGTGTCAGGCAGAGCTGGCTGCCCAGACCCTGTGCCTCAGCTCTCTGGGTTGGCACAAAACTCAATTCCACTCT